GAGAGAAGTCATTTTGAAAATAATTCACTATCTAGAACATTAATGGCATTTCAGAATTAGACCTACTTTATGTATAATGGAGTACGTAGCCAGATTTTTCAACAAAAATTAAGCACCTTTTAAGCACTCAAAAAATATTTTTAATCCCTTTCCAAAAAAAAAAAAATTCCTAATTAGGATCTGTGCAGACCTACCAGTAATAAAAATTATTGTTAGGTCTGCACAGGTCTATTAAATTATCTGTGCAGTAATAAAAATTATTTTTTTTCTATGGTTCTAAGTTTAAAAAACCTAAAATCAATAATATTCAAAAACTTTACATAATCATGATAAAATAACTAGTTTCTGATAAATATTACAGAGAAAATTGTGAACATCATGCATTTTTTGTAATTTAAAACATGACAATCGTCACGGCAAAGAAAAAAACTCCCTTTAAAAGATAAAAAGCGGCTTTAAGGGCTTTTAAAAAACATAAATAAAAAATAAGCACTTTTAACAACGCTAAGCACCCTGTGTAAGTAAATCTAACACATATTCTACATAGAACTTCATACAGATTTATCTAAAAAGTATTATGTCACAAATATTAGATCCAGTTACCTTATTTGCAATTACACACTACTTTATGGCTTTTCAAATTCCAATATTTTTAATACAATGTTATTACGAGAAGACAATTTTAAATTTGATTTATACTTTTTTGATATTCTTTTATCAAATAATAAATGAAAAGTGAATAAAAAGAGAGAGAAAAAGAATTCAGGGTTCTGCTTTTTTTTCTCCAGTGAATCATGCTCAGTAAATAGAATTAGAGAAAAAGAAATCACTGCAGTGCTTTCCCCCCCACTCCACCTAATAAAGATCACATATTCATATTTTACAATATTATATTTTACATTTTTTAATATTGTATTTTGAGTTTTCTAAACAATGCATAATATATGATAAAAGTAATTCGTTTTTTTTTCTTCTTTTTTTTTGAAATGTACATACATTTTTCACAAATATTTAAAAAAAATTATATTTTTGAAAATTACTATTACACGGTGCGTAGCCAGATATTTCAACAAAGAATAAACACCTCTTAAGTTCTTTTTAAACACTCAAAAAATATTTTTAATCTCTTTCCAAAAAATAAATAAATAATTAAGAAAAAAAAACATAATTAGGATATGTTCTGTAATAAAAATTATGTTTTTCTATCATTTTAAGTTCTTAATTTATGAGCATAAAATCTAAAAAATTCAAAAAACATTTTCACCAACTTCACATAATCATGAATTTTTTTTGTAATTTAGAATGACAATCGACACGGCAAAGAAAAAATCTCTTTAAAACATAAAAAATTACTCTTTTTACAAACCTCAAATAAAAAAAGCACCTTCAAGGGCTTTTAAAAAATTTAAATATAAAATAAGCACTTTTTAAAAATGTTAAGCATCCTGTATTGTATAAATGGACTTATGTTCTTGAAGGAAAAGAATTGAAATTTGTATTGTCATACAGCTCAGTTATAAATAAAATGTTCCAGCTAATGAAAAATTGGTCAGAATTTAAATTTATTGTAAATTCTCATTGGTTATAATCAAGGGTGCCACTCTAAAAATATTTCAAGACTGNGGACGAATAATGGAAATAAAACCACTCACATTTTTAATAATTTCAATTGACATATTTTAAATGACAACTTAATAATGTTTTAATGTGTTACCCATGAAGTAAACTTAAACAATTCTTAAATTTACAACACTTTATTTAAAAAATTGCCAGAAAAAAATTTTTATTTACATAATATTCTATTAATTAATTTTATGAATAAATATAAATTGATCAATTATTTACTTACAAAGAAAAAAATTATGATTTAACATTAATAAGAATGCGCACATGATGTTTGTAAAAGTAAAAATATTTTCTTAGAATACTACATTTGGAATTTAAACTTAGGGAAACTTAGTTTGTCTCGAACTGTCTCCCCCCCCCCCCGGGGAAGGGTTTATTCGATTAACAAAACAATAATGAAGATAAACAAATTTGTAAAGGGTCCGTTCTTATGAAAAGATATTTTGTGAAGGGTCTGTTAACGAACCTAAATTTCTTCTAAACAGATCTCCGTAAGGGTTTTAAATAGTTGAAAAGTAATCGGAGATTTCATTCATAAGCAATAAAGCAAATTAACAGTAAAAAAAAGTACTTACAGGTTTGTCTAGGTTCAAAAGAGGTGCACTTTTTCCAGTGAGAACTTTCATCAATGGAATGAGGTCGGTTGCATAACGACACAAGGGGCCCATACTTAAATATGGAACGAATTCTCTCTCACCAGACGGAGGATAGGTTCCATAATTCGATATAACTTCTGAAACATAAATTTCATTTATTAATCAAATTTTTATGGGCGAATTCTCTAAAATTCCAACTATGATAATTTTGAATAGGACATTAGACAAAAAGTGTGCTACACGTGGCTCGCGACTCATATGCAACTCAATAGAATCGAAGTTGTGGTAATATAGTTTAATTATATTGGAAAATTAGCTGCAACATTGCCATTGCCAATCAACATTTAATAATCTTGCACAGACTATCATGAACAATGATTTTCAGATATGAATGTCATCAAAAACAATTTAAGTAGTATGCTTAATGATGAAAGATTTAAAATTGGCAGGAAGTAAAAAACTTTTAATATTTTGCTAAATTAGGACTACTTTAAACCTGAATTTCAATTCAGCAATTTTAGAAAGAAAAAAAAGTTGAACTTCGAACAATTATATAGACATTAACTACAAATTAAGCCATATAATAAAAATTTAAAGGAATTACTATATTAAATAAACATGAAACTACATAGACATAAATTGAATAATATTTTTGAAAGACAAACTAGATCATTTAAATTAAGTTGTGATTCCATTGTAACTTGTTCTTTGTCCCTTAGTTCAATGTATAAGATTTTTACAATGTTAGAGGAGTTAATTAAGTTTATTTTAATGAAAATTCCGTAGAAAAACACGAAATTCCATGTCAAGAAGCAAACTTGTTAATTTCAAAAAATAAACTAATATTACAAGTTTGTCTTCTCATAGCTTTTTATTTTTACTTAACAAAGCTGTATAAATTATTGAAATTAAGTTTTTACAAATTATTTTAATTAGTTTGTTAACCCATGATAGTAGGTTGCAATATCACCATAACTTTAACATATGAAATATATTCATTCATATATCAATATGTTAGTAAGTAAAAATGAAAAGAATTTTGCAATGGGACCATTCTAAGATATACTTTTCAAGAACTCATGTTTGTGACTGAATCAATTAATATTACACATTTTTTCATTTGTTAACATTGCTTCATTAAAGCATTTTGCTTTTAAAAACAAATGGAACATCTTTTTCTCTCATTTATTTTTATTTCCACTCTTTTCTTATTTCAGTTATTTCTATATGTATTGAATTTTGTTCCAGTATATTCATCGTGTGATTCTGTTTGGACAATCAAAAGGTACCAGAGTACCAGTCCAGGAGGTGCACTCAACATTCGGTGCAACCGCAAGGACCAGACTGCACTTATCAGCGGCCACCTTAAGTCCCTTTCTGAGGGTAGTATTAAAATCTACCCTAACTGCCCCAGGTGCCACAACATGCAGGCTTCCCCCCAACATATACTGGACTGTCTAGGTCTGGACAAAAGGGACATTCTTAATAACACACTTATGGTGGCCGACTTCCTCCGGGTGATGAATTTCATGGACATAGTTTAGCCCTGCTAATTTTGGGGATAAGGAAGAAGAAGAAGAAGATNAATCGACGATCTTGTATTTTTTTCATGACGTGAAGTTATTTCGTATTTGAAGGATGAATGATTTATCCATTGTCTCTAATTGATATCTAGTACAAAACAAGAGAGAATAGAAGCATGAAACACAAATGACAATGTCAGTAAAGCAATATGTGGTATTTTTACCTGGAGAATTTTAAATTGAATTTTCCTAGTAATAATAATATTCCTATAATAATAATCCTTGTAGTAATGATATTCTGACATATACAGTAGCGTAGTTTTGGGGACAAAACCCCATCTGAAATTATATATATTACTTGATATTAACTATTGTACTATTTAGTAGGACTATAATTAACTATAGTAGATAAAAAAATAAAATTTTTGTATCTACGAGTTACGAGATACAAAAATAAAATTTCAAGAAAAAGTATTTCGTGAAACTACTGCTTTTTCTAAAGTTGAATTTGTGAAGGTACCGCTAAACGCTAGAAAATTTAGCCTGGACAGATCCCGGTATATAAATATATATAAGAAGGAGATAGGGCAGTGATAGTCAAGTTGGCAGGACGCAGGACTCTCGTTCTTGGGAAAGGGAGTTCGCATCTAGCCGACCGAAAACTCCCAGTGTAGTAAATGGTGACTGGTGCAGGTTAAATCTGTTGGGTCATAAAGTCCTCCATATTCCCACAACAAATTACACCTCTGGGGGTACTGAATTGGAGATTGATCGTTCTCTGGGTCAGGTCAAAATTACGATCTGTGAATGCATGAACAGGTTTGCCCAAGAAACAGGTGTGACGTATGGGTGTGTCAGAAGTCGTATTCTTGGCTACAGATGGCGCCACTGCACAACAAGAACATCCACACCCCATCTGCTTTGATGGCCAACGACAACAACAAATACAGAAGATAACCAATAAACCCCCTCGAACATACATTGACACTACGCCACTGGATGCATAGTACAATTTCAAATACATACATATATACCTAACAAATTGGGCGTAGGTTTATGGCCAAACACTCCATTGAAGAACGCTGGAATTCTGATGCTGCCTCCAATATCTGATCCAATACCAGCAACAGATGCACCTGCACCAATAAGTGCTCCTTCCTCTCCTCTGAAAAAATAAAAATCATTATATCATGTTTGATCTGAAACTGTGGAAGCTCTAGTAAAATAAAGTAAGGAAGAAGGAGGGAAAACTATAACAGCTATGACAAAAATATTAAATAAATAAGTAAATTAAAAGTCATATAAAAAAAGGAAAAAAACTGAGCTTGCAAAAGATCTTTCCTAAATAATCATAATCCAATATAGTGCTACAAAAGCAAGAGTATGTTCCGTCACATAATATAGTGTAAACTAAACCAAAAGTGTCTAGCCATATTTTATTAAGAATAGTTACTCATAAACATTAGATATCTCTTTAGAAAAGTGAACACTTTCATTTTATTTTTTAAAAAGGTTGAGTCAGTTAAAATTAAATAAAAACAGGGTATCTGCTATATTTCAGATTTTCATATCCATGACTAATCCCAAGAATTTCTTAACAAAGTTACTATTTTCTCCAACAAAAACACAACAATAAATTTAAGAAAGCATCATAATAACATTAATTGAAATTTTCTTCTTTTTTTCTAACAGCAGGTACTGAACTGTTAGTTCTCCACTTCAGAAGATGAAGTGTTACTCATTTAACGTTACCCAGTGGGCACCTATGAACCTAAGTCACGGAGCCGAGCAACATTAACCACGCCACACTGTCACAGATATCCGCTTTATAGGGTGGTTCACATTCACACACAACAGAGAACAACACTGAGAGAGAAACACCCATGCCTAAAGCGGAATTCGAACCCGCAGCCAATGGCTTCGCAGTCAGGCACGTTAACCGCTCAGTCACCTGGCCGGCCCACATTAATTGAAATGATAGATATAACCAAAACTGTTATACTCTGTATCTTCATATTTATAGATTTTAAATTTAAAAAACAGAGTGAAGAAAGAATTGAAGCAATAAAATAGCTGAAAAAAGTATAAAAGTAAAACATTTTTCTTCTTTTTTTTCTGCAGAATTATTTTTTAAAGATACTTCTCTTGTTCATCAGAAAGGAAATAAATACTCTTAATTTTTCTGTTCTCATTTGCTTCAGCTAGAATTTGAAATTGATTAAAAAAAAATAATAATAATAAATAAGTAAAAAAAAAATTTTTAATTACTCACAGAAGTTTAAAAGACAATTCATTCTAGAAATAATGTTCTTTCATTTTTTGAAAGAACACCATAATTTTTAAAGAACATGATAAGAATATTTTATATTTTAATAAAATATGACTGTGAAATACTCCTAATTTTTCTGTTCTCATTTGCTTCAGCTAGAATTTAAAATTGATTAAAAATAATAATAATAATACATAAGTAAAAAAAAATTGAAATTACTCACAGAAGTTTAAAAGAAAATTCACTCTAGAAATAATGTTCTTTCATTTTTTGAAAGAACACCATAATTTTTAAAGAGCAGGATAAAAACATTTTATATTTTAATAAAATATGACTGCTAGTGGGGTTTTTGTTACAAATTCAGATATTCGGAACACAGTGAAATTGGGGAAGGGGACTAAACTGCATTTTAAAAATTAGATTTTTTGGCAAACTAAATCCATGACTTTGCATGAATTTTTTTTTTAAAATAGTTAAAATCATGACATTTTATGAAAATTTTTTCTCAATGCCGAAATCCATGACTTTCCAGGTGCGCAGACACCCTGTAAAAACCTTAATAGCTTTAAAAATATTTTTGTTTAAAAAAGCGTTGAAGCTTAATACAAAGAAAAATCACTCGATATTTAATATAATTCCTTATATTCATCTAATAAAAAGAAACTTAAATAATCTAATAGAAAGAAACTTCTGAGATAAAATGACTTTCAAAAAAATTTGAAATATTCACAAATCAAAGCACCATTAAATAACAATTGTTATAATTTTTTATTTATTCATCAGAATCCAATATTATGTTCTTCAAGTCTATCCTTTTTATAAATTATTCTTTTTTGTTTATGATTTACTTAATGTGCTCAACTGCTCTTCTATAAAACTAGAATGAAGAAATTCTGAAAATGAAATGTAGGCTTTTAAGCAAATAAGATAATACACTTTTTCTAAATAAAGCAGGGATTTTTAAAGATGCCCAAAAAATTTGAAAACTTTAACTGTATCAAAAATTAAAATCAAAAGAATTCATTGAATAATAAGCTAATGAGAGTTAATGATTTTAAATTTTATTTATTTGAATTAAAAACTATTAGTTATGGATGAGTGCTTTGTTAGCTGGAAATCAGGCAGGGTAGAAGTAAATTTTATAACATTCTGTACAGCTTATTTTATAACATTTTAGAAAGAATGAAATATTATACATTATAAAAAAAAATCTATCTATTTGTGGCGTTAACTACAAACGGAGAAAAAAACAATTTACCTTCGTCCACACATCTGTGTCAGATAAAGGCAAACATTGAAAACCCTCGTCGAAAATTTAAAAGGTCGGATCTCCCAGAAAACAGGATATAACATGTTTATCTGAATCATGTTATGACAGGTATTATTTTTGAACATGAATTAATTTTTACATATAACAATGAAAAACCATTAAAGCTTCATGTTTAATATAAAATAAAGATAAAAGTAAAACAAGTTTTAAACTAATTATATTTATATAATTAAACTACGTTGGCATTTAAATTAGTATGTTTATTTATTATTGACAATTGACACTGATTGACATTACTGACCTTTACAATTTTGATACATGAACTATTTTGCATTTTCTTTATTATGAATATTTTTGATTGATTTTGTAATAATATCAGAGTTTTTTTTAAAAATTATGCATTGGCTACTAAAAGTAGGAGTAAGTTAGTATTTCAAATTTTCCTACATTACAGTATCACACAGGGAAATTTCAATATCAGTGAATTTAGCATATTTTTTTTAAATATTACATTTATTTTAGCTTCAACTGATGGTGGATAATTTGAATGCACGCTGAATTGCACTCTAAAACAACAATTATTCAAAAAAAATCATGAAAAAAACCACCTCAGAGGAAATCTTTTATCAAAATCAAAATTTATTTTAATCCCAATCTTGTTAAATAATACAGAGTGGATACAAGTTGTCGTATTGGACAAGATAAAAGATTTCCTGAGTAATAAATTTTGTAAGAATTTGTACTTTATATTCTCACCAGGACTCTTTTATCTTAGCCACTCTGTAGAATTAATTTTGAAGCAATTTAGTATATCATTTGAAGTAAGTAAAAACTCAAAAGAAAGTTATATTTAATGAGGATTTGATAAAGAACTGATTTTTACAATAATTTAAGTAAATGAGTAAAGTAAAACCTAATTTTATAGTTATACAAAGAACTGTTAAAATAACATAATCTAATTTTATTATTAATACCACTAAACTAACAAATCACATACTTCTAAAAACAGGGTGGTCACTCAAATCAGACTTCAAATTTCCCTGATTTTTCCAGGTTTTCCAGATAAAAATTATAAAATTTCCAGGTTTTTGTTTTTTTTTCTTATAAAATATAGGATGTGTACAAGAAAAGTGTCTATATTATAAAATATTTCATTCAAAATGCTATTTTTTTTAACATATCTTAAAAAAAAACTTATTTGGACAATTTGGCAAGATTTTTTATTTATTTTTTAATGTTTTGGTACAAAACTTTGAATCAAAAATCATATATTGGCCAACAAAAGAGTAAAATTAAATATTAATATTATAGTTGGCTCCTTATAAAATCTATTATTATTCAATTATAACCAACTAATTTTTGGAGAATTTTATAAAGTTAAAAATACAAAAACATTTTGTCAAAATAGAAGAAAAAAATTACTTCCAAAGCATCGAAACAAACTTGAGCCATAAATGGATTCAGCCCAAGGACAGAATATAAAAACAGAAGATAACATCCTAATCCCTTTTTCCACCTCCACTAGAATCTTTCCTAAATTGCACAGTCCCACAGCGATCAAAGATTTCTACATTCGTTTAGCAACCGTGGAAGCATTTTATGTTGCATTCTAGTTTAACAGAGCTGTAATGGAGCAAATTTTGATGTAAGCAAAGTATCACTAAGTTGATGATATTTCAACTGTTTGGTGATACATTTCTGTTTGAAAAAGTGGGTATAATGGATGAAATAATTTAAATTAAAAAAATTAGTAAATAATTAAAATTAGCGAAATTAAAAAAATTATCAAAGAAAAAATTTCCAGTTTTTCTTTGAAATTCCCTGATTTTTCCAGGCTTTTATCCAAATTTCCCTGATATTTCCAGTATAAAAAAAATTCCCTGATAATTCCAGGTTTTCAAGGTTTTCCAGGTGGGTGGCCACCTGAATAAGCTAATTTAGAGTAAATTATAAAGAAAAGAGTAATATATTTACCTAAAATGAGTAATTCGGTTTTCAAGAAGTATTCGTAATTGTACCTCAATATTGGCAAAAATATCACTTTTCAACAGTCACAGTTCCAATACCATCTGACCTTAGGTAAAAAATAATTTTTACTTTTTTAGTATATTATTTTCATAAACACATATAATATTACAATAAAATTAGTAGACTAAATTATTTATAATATACATAAACTTGTTCTTAGCATTGATACAATCTTTATAATAAGCTATGAAGTTTATTTAAAAAGGTTTTTAACTTACACTTTACACATTAACTTTACATTTCAATCAAAAAAATTAATTAAAAAAAATATTGTTTCTTAGAAATTTTTATCAAGCATCATTCATATAAAGTAAATGAAACATAAAAAAAATTGGATAATTAGAAATGATTAAAACAAGAATGCAGTTTGAATAAATAAAAGTATTAGATCTCTAATATCTAATTTATGCATTCATGTCACACTGCTTCATACAATTTAAGCCTTTTAAAATAATTTAGGTATGTTTTGACATTATTTTAGACACTGAACAAACCATCCAAATGTAATGCATAAGTAGAAAAACTGACTTTTACAATATAAGAATGATTTTCATTTTTATGTAAAGTTTTGAATGAATTCTCTTTCTTGAGATGATTTTCTTTTTTACCACCGATTTCTAAATCAGTTTTCAATATTTAATAAATAAGAACAATAAAACTTGGTTGCAAAAAAGAAGTTTTATTAGTTGAACCACTTTTCAAAGGAACTTAGTTAAACTTATTACAAAAAATTCGCCTCACTGTAAGTTACAATGCAATTGTTTTCTACCACTAACTTATAACTTATTTAAAACATTTTTTTTTACAAAAATCTCAGTAACATTAAAAGCCATAATCCTTGAAAAAATAAATACGAAAGTTGCGGATATTTCAGTTCATTATTTGTTTTTAGCTAAATATAATCAATGAAATAACTTTATTTAGCTTAAAAATAATTTCGTATTTGTGGAAAAAAAATTCACCTCAGACTAAATTAACATTTAATTTTTTTATTATTAAATGTTATTACAAAAGTGGTTAAAGAAAAAACATAGCAGGATCTTCAACAACTTATTATTTGCTACTATTCTAATAAACCAACATTTTGTCCACATTTTTTAAATACTCTAAGCAAATCCATGCTTTAATATCAAACAAATATAATTTCATTTAAGTTTATTTCATTATGTAAAAATTATCATAAGATTAAGAAAATAAATAATCCCAGTAAGCTCACACCTCACGGCAAACATAAGGCAGTATATGGCATTTTCGGAACGTTAACTGCAAAAGGTAAACACAATGGTCTGTTACCGTTGGTTTTGAGGCATTATCGGAAGCGGCGGTATAACTCGTCACTTATATAGGCCCGGAAAATAAAAGTGCTGTTTGGCCGTTTGCACTTAATTAGTTACAGGACCTTCATATGTATACCATAAATTAATTGTAAGGTTACAATGAATTATTTTATTAATAATGAATAAGTGTAGAGTTGGTAAAAAAATTGGTCATTAACTCGAAAAGATGAAGAAAGAAAATAAGCGAAGAATAAAATATTAAGCATATTTTATCGATTTTCTTTTTTTTCCTATCTTTTAGCATGAAGAGGCCCGAAAACTAAATGTGTCATTTGGCCTTCTACTATTAATTGGTTACAAGACCTTCATTTAATGCCATTATTAATTTTAAGTAACAATGAATAGATTGATTAATAATGAGAAAGTGTAGAGTTGCTATAAAATTTTTTTATTAACTCGAAAATTTGAAAAAAGATAGAAGAATAAAATCCATAAAATATTTAGCATATTACGATTTAAAAAATGCACTTTCATTATTCCTTAAAATTTGCAGAAATTTTACATAAAACATTAAAAAGTTAGTATTTTATTAATTTGCTATAACCTAAATATGAATTCTGGAATTGCTTATTAAATATTTTTAAAAAGTAATTCGATTAAAAATTCGATTTGAAATAAATATTTTAAAATTTTTAAATAAATATTTATAAGAATTTTTTATTCCAAAAATCATTTTTTGAAGTATAATATTTAAATCCGTTTATATTCTTTGTTTTGAAGTAAATTTTTTTTGATAAAATTTAATACTATTTCCCTTAAAAATAAAATTATTATAACTTATAACTAGAACAATTCTTAAATTTATTGAAAAATGTTCTTATTTTTATTTTAATTGCTTATTATAAAATCCTTAATTTGTTGTATTAAGTATTTATATTAAAATAAAGACTTTTCTTTTATTAGATAAAATATATATTTATTTTTAATGTTACATGATTCCTAAAAATGTATTATTTTAATAATAGATGGTAAAAACAGGTAGTTAAAAAAATTTCATATAATAGCAGGAAAAAGCTAAAGGTCCGTTCTTGTTTGTATTACGGCATTTTAGGAAGAAGCCTGAAATGAGCTACTATAACTTATAACTATGTACATATATATATATATATAATATGTACATAGCCTTTTTTTAACACACCTTTTTTTAAGCCTTATTTAAAATTAAAATTAATACGCAATTCAGAAATGAAGAAGACATTCAGAAAAAGTGAATGCATTTACAGATAAAAAGAAAAAGTTTTGTAAATTGCTGAAATCCTCCTTTTAATCATACATTTTTTTTAGTTCTAAGTAACGATTTTTTCTGAAATATACTTTTTCATTTCATTAATTTGCAAACTTTAATTACAATTTAAGTATTATGTTATAATAAATGTTAAAATAGGACATTTCTAATTTATATAAATTGTGTTCATCTATTTAAACGTTCAATATTTAATGTTTATTTTAACTTAAAATCTCAGTTTAATTACTTACTTTTTAAAAACAGGATTCAAAAAGGGTTTTAAGAATTTTGCATAAATAAAATGCGTTTGAAAATAGTAATTGCTAAAGAAATTCTGTTTTTAAAAATTCGTTTTTAAATAATAAAAAAATATTTGGAATTTTTATTAATTGAATTTCAAAATATTAGACAATTTACAATAAAATGATTTACTGATAAAATGATTACTGATAAAATGATTTTATTTTAAATTTTACTACAGAATATAAATGAAAATCAAAATTATACTTTAAAAATGCTCAACATATTTATTTTTCATTTACATAGCAAAAATATTTTTTCACCAGCATCATATTTATATTTAAAATAATTAAAAAAAAAATCTCTTAAATGTCATATAGAGAGGGAGCTGTTTATTATTTTATTATATTAATCAAAATTATACTTTCAAAATGCTCAACATATTTCTTTTTCATTTACATAGCAAGAATATTTTTTCATGTAGCATCATATTTATATTTGAAATAATAATAAAAAAAAAAATCTTTTAAATGCCATACAAAGAGGGTGTTGTTTATTATTTTAGACGTGTTTCAAAAGCGTCCGATAGGTGGCAGGAAAACTATTTTTCTAGCTTTCACATCATATACCTCCTCCGCAAAGGGAGAAAGAGGGCTTTATTTTCTTCAGAATTCGAAAAGATTAGAACAGTCAGTTTCATATCAAATCGCTAAAAATCAAGATAAGAACAACAGTATCAAAGATTATTTTCTTTTAAAATATTATGGCAANTTAAGAAATATTCCCTTTTATGAAAAACTAACTAAAATATATTAATACGCTTTTAAAACTCAATATCCTATAATTTATTACAGGGCTGTAAGCAAGGAATAGAATATGGCGGGGGGCTTAAACAACACCCGAAAAGAATTTACAAAAAATAATTTCCCTTGTAAAATAAGAAATTTTCTCTATTCCTGAAATAGTAAATTTTTTCCCTATGAGTTTTTAATAAACATTTCAATCATTACTATAAAAATAATCTTAAATACTTATGAGAGAACGTTGTCTTACAATATTTTCCTTTTATTGATTATTAAAAAAGGTTTGACAGAAGATGCAAAGCAAATATTTTGCATGTAATGATTTACATATGGAAAAAAAAATATTTATGAGTATAACGTGAAGATAAATGCAAGATAAGTTAATTACGAATTTGTAATTGTTAAGAAATGCGATATTATATATTACAAATTTAAATCCCTTCCGAAAGAAAATTTGTCTACGGCTTGATATATAATATTTTAAAATGTATGAACGAATGATGAAAGCATAAAATTATTGACGAAAGATCCGATACTTCTTATCTTGCTGTTGAAAATTTCTTAAATTATATATTTTTTGTAATAAAACACAAGTTTCAAGTGAGAAAAAATCCAAACAGCATGCTTCTCTAAGACAAGGTGTGGGGTTTTGTAGGGTTGATTTGCTTTTGATTCTCTAGAATCTCGCAAAAAAACATTTACACAGGTGTCTGTAAACTGATCGGTGTGGCTTTTGACCAGAGAATGAGAGGAGGTCTTCGTAGGGACCCCCTCCCCCCGGGCTTGACCTTCAAACCTTAAGCTTTCGCTATCCATATCAAGCAGAGAAGAAATTTATAACTCATGTGTTGCAATAGCATAAAATGTGTCATTCAGAAAATATTTAATATAAAAATAAGCAACTTCATTAACCAATTAAAGAGCAAAATAGTTTTTTTTAAATTCAATTTTTTTAATAGCAAATTAGACTAAAATAAACATTAAAATTTTCTCCCTTTCAATTTTGACTTATAGTTAAATTTATCATATAATTTAATTCGAGTCTTACATAGCACTCTAATTAAAGCGGAAAAGAGTACAAGAGTCATAGCATAGTTTAAAAAAAGTTATCAATTTTTTCTGCTACTAAATCAATTTAATATTCAAATCAAAAGACATATAAAAAAAAAAAAAAAATACTCCTTTCCCAGTAACTATTGAATAAT